CCTTCATCTCGAAACCGAGCACATTTTGATAAGAAATCCACGGCATGGGAAACCATTTTATGGTGTCTCACTGACTCTACGTTATTTAATAAAGGTGCGTCTCAAAACAGACATTGTCGCGTAACCATGGTGTCTGCCTCAAAACGTCACGCGATCATGGTCACGAATGTTAGGAATTTAATCGTCGAGGGCTAGAAAGCCTCCCTCCTTTAAAAAGTACATTTGATTGAAATACTCTGGTTTCTCTTGGATAACGCCCTCCTTTCCCATCGTTTGAAAGGAGACTAGAAACCAGGTGATAAGAAAATGGCGTGCTTCTAAGTATTGTTAATTCAGAGAATGCTGACCACGAGAATCAGAAAATAACGATGTGTCAGAACCTTGGACTGTTGTTGACCCCTATTCCGCATGAGTACTGAACTTGCTCAGCCGCTCGTGGTAATGAAGAATGTAACCTAAAACAATGGAAAAAAAGATTGAAAATGGACAAGAAACTAGCTCGTGAAAAGAAAAGAGTAATTCTTCGAGACTTTAAGACAATGTGGAAACGTCGAAAAGAAGAAATTGTTCACGGGCAGTGTTGTCTATAAGAGAAAAAAAGGAAATAACGAACACATTGTTTTGTCAAAGGCTAGGCAACAGTATACTAGAAAGACAGATGGTGTGTTAAGACTACATTTAATAGGAGGATTCAAACAAACAACGTGATTTATCGTTATTTCCAATTTATTGTTCTTAACCAGGAGTTCCTGTCTAATTCAAATATCGGAAACTGTAGAATAACTTTTTGAACCTAAATAAAGCAATTATTGACTTCCAATGTCATGTTTTATTTCACAGCTAACTCAGTGACTGGGATATCATAATGTGCATGTTTACTGTCATGTTTACTTCGTATTATCATTCATACGTATCATGCGTCAGTTTACGTCACAACAGCCTTTTTTTTTTCAGCCAAGTTATAACAAGGGACTAAACAACTTTTAGTTTACGTGAAACTTTTTGTACGATTTCGACACTTGCTATAGAACTCCTTATTTAATGAGCAAAACCTACAACTAACGCTCGCCAAATTATCTGACTGTAAACAGTCCAGATATCTAGATAGGTCATTATACTGCATTAAAGCTATTTAACTACGGAGATACTTCGACTTCTGAAGTGTCAAACTAAATTCTATTAATTACNCAAATTATCTGACTGTAAACAGTCCAGATATCTAGATAGGTCATTATACTGCATTAAAGCTATTTAACTACGGAGATACTTTGACTTCTGAAGTGTCAAACTAAATTCTATTAATTACGCTAACAGTAGCAAGCAATCACTCTGTTTTCATACTTTCTCGCTTTACTGGCAAATAACACAGCACTGCACTTTTGTCAATTTTTCCTAAATTCTCCCACTCCCCGAGATGAACAGGGTACATCTCCCCTGGGGGAATTCTTATGCCACTGTCAATTGGGAAATTGTTTATTGTGAAGTACACCCTCCCTTCTATTTCCACTGCACCAAGGTTGTTCGAGGGAATGTGTTTTTGTTCAGCAACAGACCAAGTGTTGTTTTCCTCATTATACATTTCAACAGGTGCAGGCATACCGCTTGGACTGGTGTATTGGCCGAATTTGTTAACGTTCATTGAAACATACCCCCCTGCAACATATAGTCTATTGTTTACTACAATAAGACTGGATCCAAAGTGAGGCTGGCAGGTTGCTGCTTTCACTTTCCATTCATTCTTTACTGGATCAAAACAATTTAGTACTGCTGGGGAAA